CTACATATTTGGTTCCTCTGCCGTTGGCTTGCGCCGCACACGTGTTCAATGCTGCTCAATGACGGATAAGCCTAATCCAATGCATAAACATGATTAAAATGTGCGCTATATTTGTGCGTATGCATGTATGCATGTGTGTGTGTGTGTAGCTTGAAATGTGGTGAAAAAGCGCAATCCAGTGCGTTATTGGATGCATAGGAACATGCGTAAAGTTAAGGGGAAGCTTTAAGGGGTTGCTCTAAGGTTGTGGCAAGTGGTCGTCCAACAAAATGCAATCAAGTAGGTTAAGTAGGTATTTAGAGTAAATACAAATGGAACATAAGTTTTCATTATTTTAGCGTCTTGCTGAAAGGGTAAGTCGTTTGCTAATCACGTGATGTTTTCTTTTCTATCAAAATATTTGTTTACGCATAACTTTCATGAACACGCGTCATTAGGGTTGTTCGCTCAAAACTGAAATTGAACTTAAAGCTCTACCCAGAATTACAACGGACGACGATAAAGCGGTTGGCGGAAAGTGAATAGTTGAAGAGTTGCCGGAGTGAAATCCGTCAGAGTAAACAGAATTGCCGCGCACGACGGCTTGCGTCAGTTGTAATTGGGCGCGTTCATAAGACGTAGCTGTTTAGCTCATCTGCTACGAAACTGCTGGCAACAATTACGTCTTAGAAACGGCTTGATGAATATGCTACTAAATGAACAGCTGATATATGTAAACAAATGAAATTGCAACAAATAGAGATAGTTGCGCCGATAGTATTTAGAATTCAAATACAACAACAACACAAACAACAAAGCGGTGTCTTTTTGATCAGCTGTTTAGGCTAAGCCCAAAACGTTGAGTTCAGGTAGCGTAAATATTTTCCGCTAAAAAAATGGCGGAAAGTTGGCAACTGTTGAGCTGAGCGGAACTGTGCGTTTCTAAGGCAAATAGCCAACGGTTAGGCAACAGCTACATCTTATGAACGCGCCCATTTTGATTTGAAAATTATCATTAAAATTAAATATTTTTTCGGTACGTGCGTGTATGCAGATTTTCTGGAAATAAAAATAGTTAAAAACTTTGGAAAACTCGTGAAAATTACGAAAATTACCACAATCGACATTGTGCCGTCCCCGCTGGGCGGTAAAATAGAAATAAATTCAAATCAACCGGAAAATGTCGACGGTAAAACCGCTGCTGCCGCCATTCCATATGCCTTTGTGAGTTTTAATTTTGACAGCGGTTAAGCGTCGTCCGCTGGAATTCTGGGTAGGCAGAGGTTAAAAGCCCTAAACAATGTAGTTTTTTGAAAATGTTGTACTTGTTGAATTACGTATGGATTGCTGAAAGGTCCCAAGGAAGTTGACAGGAATTTAAGTTTTAGCACACAGATTTTATTAAACATTCTTACGTGAATAAGCAGGGCTATCAAGAGAAGATCCGGGCACTGTAGTAAATATGTGTGGGCCACCATCCCCGCACATTTTATTTTACTATATATACGAATTTCAAACGATCTCACTACATACTTGTTCAGTGCTTTTGAAAGATAAGTTTTCTAACTTTTAGGCTCCTGGTACAAAAGTTAGGTTAGGTTAGGTTATTATTGCTGGCTGACCGCCCCATATATCCCAATACGTCTCTAGTGAAACCAGATGCAGACAGAAGTTTTAGTTCAGTATATTCCAAGTAGACATCATTTAGGATGCCAACGCTTTTTGAGATTCTCAGAAGTGCTTGAAGCCCAAGGTTTGTCACATCTTTAAGCTTATTCAACTCTGAAGCTCCAAAATATTTCAGTAGGTTTTATGAAACAGCAGGACAAAGGCATAGAATGTGTTCTAGGGTCTTCCATTAGCCCGAGCTGCTGCCCTATTTATGGCCTCTATGCTTCTAAGGGTATTTCGGGTCGTAAACTGTTCTGAGCTAATAGCTTTAATCGCTGCTTGACTATCTACGTATATGTTAACTTTAGAGTTACGAACATTAAGTGCTCCTACTCCATCTTAAAGTTTAGAGCCACTGTGAAGAACTGCAAAATTGTATGCCTCCACGCCATCCATTTTGTTCGATAGTAACCCCAAAATCGCCTATCCTAGTTATATAGTTCTTTGCTTGAATTCCCTTGTTGTAATCTGTCTCTCCGCAGACTTAGCCGCAAGATCGATAGGCTGTATATTCAGGATTTTTTCTAGTGCAGCCATTGGAGTTGTTTTCAGTGAATAGGTGGAGTATGATTTCTTTAAAAAAAAACTTCGCCTAATAAAGGAATGGTTTTTGCTATACTGTTGTACAGATCAAATGAATGCGTAAAATGTTTTAGTCAAAATGCGTCTTCTATGTTGTTGACCTTTTTTCAGCATCGAAACGTAGATAACACAGAAGGAGGTGGTACTATAGGAAGAGGAAGACACTTGGCCTTTCCAATTCTGTTCAGTTGGCAGAGAGCCTAGTGTGTTGTAATAGGCACGGTCAGTGTCATAAAGGAGTCTGGTAAGTTTGCAGAGGAGCAATGAATTCAACCCCCCACCTACATATCCCTTTCCCCCAAATCCTGTTTCTTGGCCCTAGGTACAATGGTCAATAACGCTTGAGTGATTGGAGATTTTTTTTTTTAATTTTTTCGGCCACCCACAATTCCATTCCATTCCATTCCAATAATATCCGCGGCCGCAGTGGTGTAGTGGTAAGCAGTGCGCACTACCACTCCGCAGGGCCTTGGTTCAAGCCCTGGTCAAAGCAACATCAAAAAATAAATAACAAAAAGGGTTTTTCTTAACAGCGATCGCTCCTTGGCAGGCAATGGCAAACCTCCGAGTGAATTTCTGCCATGAAAAACAGCTTCTCCTAAAAATATAATCGCCATTCGGAGTCGGCGTAAAACTGTAGGTCCCTGCCCTTTGTATGTCAACATCAAGGCGCACGCCACAAATCGGAGGAGGAGCTCGGCCAAACACTAACATATTGTGTGTAGGCGCCAACCTATTATGATTATCAGGGTTAGGATTTTAAGGCACTCCAAAAAAGGCATTTATTTTTTAATTTCGTTATATACATACCTTTAGTACAATTTAAATATATGTCCAATTATATCTATAAAAACAAAATACATATAGTGGTAAAAAAATTATTTGATTTAACTTATTTATTAAATTTAACATTTTAACCGGTGGAAATTTAAAATTAGCCTAATTTTGGCTTCTTATTTTGCCCCTGGCGGATAGAAAAGGGTTGAGGGACTTTCTCATAAGTTTTTCGGTATAGTTAAGAATTTTACGGGACTAATCTTATTTTTTGTGTCGGGTTTTTCGAGACTTTCAGAGATTTTTTCGGTATATTTTGACAGTATTCTTGGACTTTTTTGGGATTATATTTTATAGTACATCCTTAAAAATAACAAAAGGCAAGTCTCATCCTAATTTTGACCTCAAAAAAATCGCTCTTTTTTATAAAAAAAAAAACATAATTCAAAAATCAAATTTTGCAATAAAATTTTAACCAACTTCCCGATGAGCTAAAGGCTTGAAAGTTCAAACTTAGCTCAGAATTGCTAGTTGAAATATGAATTAGTCCGCTAGGTGGCGCATGTGTCGAGAAAACCCCCGATATGGTTATTATCTGGAATGTATAGTACTTACAAGAACAGAAATAACTCCACAAAAAATGTGCCTTGTTAACTTTTCAGTTCCTTTTTTTATTAAAAATTATGAAAACTGTTGATATCATTTCAGTTTTTTTTTCTCCCAGAGGGAAAATGGGAATGCATTACCTTTTTCTACCAAGAAAAGATTAAAAACTATGGTTGAATGAAAAGATGCATCGCAATGTAAGCGAGCGGATGATGTGTAGTTTTGAAGCCACAAACAAAACAAAACGTTTAACAAGTAATTTTTAGCAAAAAAAAACCGACTTCAACTCTCATATAAAAAAAATATATATATCTCATGATCCGCTGATCGGATCTTAACCAGATTAGTATGGGACCACCTCTGAGACACTACCTTTCCGATGCAAAAATAATTATCGAAATCGGTTGACGTGGTCCAAAGTTATGCGGTAACATACATAAAAACAATAAAAAAAATATTCCGACGAATTGATAACCTCCTCCTTTTTTGGAAGTCGGTTAAAAACTAACTCGAGTATGTTTTTTCTCACGTTATTTCAACAGCTGCTGTAGCCGAATGGATGGGTGTTCGACTGCCGTGTTGTTGGTCACGGGTTCAAAACACGTGTTGCACGAACTCTATTTTTTATTTTTTTTATTATTTTTTTAATTATACATATTTATAGATTCTATTTATAGTTTCGTAAAACGACATGCGACACATTACTTTCGAATGACATCGCTGTAGAGAAATTCTTGCATCTTTCTGTGCGTAGGTTATTGGGGCTATCCATTACTTTTTGCATTCTCAGACATTACCTCTGTCCACTGGGTACATATATATCACACATGAATACATAACTTACTGGAATTTCAGCAAGTTCTTCCATATTCGCTTTAATCACCTAACCATTTTAGAGCATGAATAACAAAAATATCAAAGTTAATAGAAAAAAAATACTAAAGCGGAGTGCTTAAAGCACTTACACGCTTTTTTATGCCCAAAGCTTCCGCTCGGTAATCACCGTCAAATGGCAATGCTATGTGTGTGCCAAACCTATTCGTGTTATTTACGCTCGTAGATACAAAATATAGCGAAAAACTACTCGTTCCCCAGTTAATTTGTGTTTTTTTTTAACGCTCACGCACCCTAATATGTTTTTGAAATACGTTTATGTATGAATATACAAATTTCCATAAGACATTAATTAAGTTGTCATATCAACGCCTCCGAGAAGCCTCATCAATAATTCAAAGCAAACAAAAGAGACAGGCCAAAAAAAAAAAACAAACCAACCACAAAAATGCTAAACACAATACCTAATAATAATAAACACTGGTCATAAATATGAATTAGTAATTCATCGCTGGTCATTTTGTTGTTGTTAAGATTATTGTTGTTCTACTCACTTTTGCATTCATTGGCATCACGTGCCGTTGCTCGACCCCATGGCCGATCGAAGTGGAACGGCTTGCAGCGTTCACAGTCGCGTCCCATCGTATTGTGTTTACATTCGCATGCGAGCATACCGTTATGATCGGGTGAGCACTTGGAAGCGTGTCCATTGCACTTGCAACGTCCACCGACAAGGAAATCCGACACAGCATAATGTTGTCCTAAACTAGCGGCGCCCGAGTGTGGAGCTGCAGCGCTAGAGATGGTCACCGCCGCAGGTATAACCACAGCTTCAGCTGCCTGATCGATCGCATTGGAACCGTACTGTTGAATCAACACCGAATTGGATGATGCCTCGCTGTACTTGCCATTTGGCTTCACATCAGCGCCATTGGTCTCCAGCACATTCAACGCATTCGGTTCGGGCATTTGCAGCCGATGGAAGACCACTTTGATATCCGTGGCGGTAACCCATTCCTGCAACACTTGCGACGAATCCAAGTCACGCGCAGACGGACGTCCTTCGAGTGTGCTAAAAGCGATACGCGATCCTTGCAGTCCGGTAACATCACCCACCTGCCGATGTGAGTCGGTGCAACGTGGCTCATGTTCGTTATGCTTCGTGATGGTGGCACGATTCGGACGACCGTAGACGCGACGACATTGCGAACTGTAGAATTGAAATGGTTGCCAAGTTTTGCCATAATCAGAACTCTTGTAAATTGCAATCGAATCGGGCTTGAGTGACTTGGGACACAGTTGTAGGCTTACATAGGTCAATTCGTACTTCTTGCCCAGCGATAGTGTGAGCGAAACATTATCAGGTGGCGCATTCATGCTAGTCACCGGCGGGACGGGTGCCGAACGCCAGCAAGTGACATTATTCGAATTATTCAAGTCGGTGAGCGCTGATTCCGGAAAACGACGCGCGGCATTCGAGTAGTCGCAGATGTGGCAAGTCATAGCCTGTGGATCGGCAGTCGAGCTCATGCCGCTCAATTCACAGTAGCGCTGCGGCTGATCGAGTCCGCAGGTGCTGGAGGCCTGCACGGGCGCACCAAAGGCGGCATTCACAAAATCGGGTATGCACTTGCGCGCCTTGTCATCGTCGTAACAGGGGTCGGTGGGCGCCTGGGCGGCCAACATTTTCATGTACACATCGTTGGGTATGGCACGACAGCAGGAGAGGAGGACAGAGAGTAGGGAGAGAGTGAGTAGTGCGGTGAGGCGCGTCATGTTGGAAGCAGTGATTCGGGTGGATTATGAAGAGAAATGGAGATTTTCGTGGGAGTTTTAGTTGATTAATTAGCTGGTTATGTGGTTAATTGACTTATGTGGGTGGGGTAGTGGGTGGGTTTGTGCACCAAAAATGCGAACAAGCGTTCTTAGATGCGCTTGCTCGGCAGTGCGTAAATTTCCCGATTAATTGTCCTAATAGTTTTTGTTGTCCTTCCACTTGAGACAATTGATTTTGTTGCTTGCGCGGTGGCTTGGTTGCGCTTCGGCGTGTGATAGCTTGACTCTGTGGAATCTCTCACACAGTATGTGGTTGCTGGATCGTCGAAAGAGCAAGGACTTTGGATATCTTTTGTTTGTTTGTAATTAATGATGTATTTAGCGTTAACCGCTGTCCCTCCACGCAGTTGAGTTACACGTTAATTTTTCAGTGGAATTAAAATTTTGCTTGAACAGGCTTTTGAGAATTTATGTAAAGATTTTTCTTATGTATTTTGTAATCAAACGATATTTTGTCACTGAACTATGTACTTCAATTACACAACGAAACACTTAATAAAGTGGAAGTATTCTTGCAATATTTTTTTCTTTGTGAATATCCTTTATATTATTTTTTTTTTTTGCAATTCGCTATTTTCAGGTTCTTAATTTTTAATTATTTTAATTTTATAATTTTCGAGATGTTATTCAAGCTTTACTTAACTTTTTCTATTCACTTGCATATATGTAACTTCGGGTATAAATTTTTCTAATACACTTCTAATTTTTTCCTCGATTTTCCTTTCATTCGCTGCTGCAATTAATTTTCACCTTAGTCGTAATTTTGCATGTCACTCAAAAATTCGCTATGGTTTTCAAGCTATGCGCGCAACGAAAGTGTGTTGTAATTTTTTTTTACATATATTCAAGTTCTATCCTCTGCGCGCTTTGGCGGCTTTCGATTCTATCACTCTTTTGTTTTTGTTTGTATTTTGGTTTCTCCAAATCTACGCTCCACCAAGGCTTAGAAAATTCTCACACAAATCGCAATTTGCACATTGATAACTCGTAAAATTGTATAATTCAATTTTCAGCAATCAATCAATCATTGCAACTCACGAGCTCACTGACACCCAAGCCTTTCGTTTTCGTTTTATCTAATTCACAAAAATTTCGTTTGTTTCTCTTTGCGCGAATTTCGTTTGCTTTCAATTCGATCTTCCAAGCGCGCTTAATGCGCACGCGACTTGCACTTTTCTAACCGCCCGCCAATTTCAAAACTGCATTTCATTCACGAAATTCGCGTCGACTCCTCAAACAGACTTGTCTAATTTCTTATCCACGAACGCGTCAATGTTCTCATCGATCGACCGCGTCGAATTTGAATTGCATCCCGTTCGAATTGGTTTCCGCGCGCGCGTTTATTTTCTTTCGCCTTTACGTTGGCGTCGAACCTACCGCTTTCTTGTGTGGCTGATGGAGCCAAATTTACAACAGCAATACGCGACGCATACGTCAATTCAAGCTGCCTGTTCACAGTCAACTAAAATTGTAAATCAGCGCCCAGCAAGCAGACGCAGCGTAGCGGCCGGCCACACTTGGTAGTGATTCAGGCAGCTAGCTAAGCAATTGCCGCAGCCACACAGTCAACCAGCCAGCCAGCCGGCTCGAGTCATCGGCGCGTTGCGGCGCAAAAGTACCGAGATTCGGTGGCTGCGACTGAGACGGTAGCATCGGCAGCACTTCGTCGACAGTCAGTTGATTCCTCGTTTACCTACGAGCGCATCTGCACTTTTGTACCTACATACCTGCCCACTCACCCCCGTGTTCGGCGACGCAACGTTGTTATCGTTTGAATTTTCCAAGCGCACGCATTCGCAGCCAGCCGCACCGGGTTGTGATGCTGATGCCGAAGTTGTTGATGGGCTGCCATTCTGCTGTTGTTTTTGTTTTCATTCATTGCCGTTGCTGTTGGCTGCTGTGTGTTAAATACGAGTAAAATTGTTCGTTCGGGTTGTATTCGAACTAAACACAACCGGCTTGCCAGGCGGGTGGCTGACTTGTTGTTGTTGCGCATGTTTGCTCCACGCGGGTCCAACAATTGTGCCCACCTTTCTTTGCTGCTGTTAGCAGCGCTTGGAAAAACTCTGTTATTGTCGCTGTTATTAGTTTTCAGCTGCGGGTTTGAGTCTTCGCTTGCCGTCTACAATATCCACAATAGAGAGATAACCGAAATTCACCACTTTGTTGTTTGCTTGGTTTTGTTCTTCCCTGGACGAGCAGGCATCTGCGCACTTCCTTTGGGAGCGATGGAAAGTTTGGACTACCAGAGCGTTGCTCTCGAAGGAGCAGGACTCTCGTTCCTTTACGACATGTTGCCCATCAATGTTGATTGACTCTTCTTTATGTTGAGTAGTTTTTGTGGATGCTATTCCTTAGTTTAATGGAAGACGCCGGTTGGCACTAACAGGTTGTTCACTTGACGTACGGGCCAGAGTTAGTTGCTACAGGAAATATATTGAAATTTACGCTATCTGCAAAATGTTAAGTTTAAGGCCGCGTGATCTTCGGCGATCTAATTTCATTCTTTCAACGCAGCCTAATTTCACTAATGGTGTATATGGAGTTGGACTGATGAGGGTTACTTTTTCTAAGTGCGGCCGAAGACCGCCAACGCGGAAAGGTATCCTGCCTAAAAATAGTGCGGGCAGCGTATCCGGAGTTGGACAATGAGAGTTTTATTTTCTAAGCGCGGCCGAGGACTGCTAACGCGGAAAGTTATTATGCCTTAAAATACTGCGGGCAGCGTAGCCGGAGCTGGACAATGAGAGTTTTATTTTCTAAGCGCGGCCGAGAACTTCCAACGCAGAAAGGTGTTCTGCGCAAAAATACTTTGGTCAGCGGCGCCAAAGTTGGACAAATCCAAGCCAATTTTTTCGTTCTAATTGCGGCCGAAGACCACCAACGCCAATACTGTGGTCAGTGGAGCCGGAGTTGGACTAATTAGGGTTATTTTTTCTAAGCGGGAAGGTATCCTGCCTAAAAATACTGCGGTCAGCGTAGCCGGATTTGGACTGATGAGGGTTATTTTGCTTGTCACTTGTCACATTAAATTATTCCCGCGGAGTCGGTAACTTCGTGTATACTCTATTGAACAGATTATCCTTGCCAATGAGGAGGTAATCAAACCGCCTTACTTTTCTAAGACCTTCTACCGGTGAGCAGTACTTACCGCGTACTGAGTTTACTCACTCAGATATTAAAAGTCCCGCAAAAGACTCACAAATATGCTTGAAGATTCTTTACAAGCCGGCTTGCTGAGGACTTCGTTAATCTCAATCAGCTAGTGGTCTTCTACCCAGAATATTCAGGCAAATCTGAAGACCTGACAACTAAAAAGATATGGAATTTCTTGAAAAATTTGTCACAACAACTAAATTGAAATTTAAAATTTTTTAAAAACGTTCTTCAGAACCATTACAACGGGAGGGTTTTCTTTAAAAAATATGGCCTGATACACATATTGCTGTGAGTTTATGAAGAATTCCGGCACTAAAGTCACTAAAAATTTGACCAATTTTGCGTGTTTTCCTTACCGTTTAGGTATACAAATGCGCTGCGTTACATAAAATAGACTTATGTAAGGTTTTTTCACTTCCGCCATCCGAAGAATTCTAAAGTCTGCGGAGCTTAGTTTGCTAGTAATTTGGGCCTTATAAGATAACATATTGAAATCTCTGTGTATAGTTGTCTTCGGTGTTGTATTTTGGTAGTTTGAACAACTTCTTTATTCTTAATTCGTTGCAATAAGCAGCTGCTCCTACGCCTTCTGTTGTTTTTGATGCAACTGTGATCACATGAATTCCACTACCTCCTGCTTGCAGACCTTAACGCCATCCATCCTCCTCAATCGTAATTTATAAACTTTCTCCAAATTGCAGACACAGGATTATATAGACTATGTTTCCCACCAGATGGCCGGAAAATTTACTATGACCGCATTGATCTGCAATTGAACTGACAGTTTTCAAGGCTATGGTTTTAGCAGCCAGATCCGCTCGTGGAATGTGTATGACGAAGTTCAGCTCCTGTTATTCCTCACATCGCTGGTATTAAAGTCGCGCCCTCTAACGGAGGCTTTCGCCATTCCTGAATTTTGTACTTTGTGGTTATTGCCTGGTTTTTCGCTTTGTCTTCAATTGCGATTTATATGAGCTCCCTTGTCTTATTTGGCCAAGATAGACAATTCGCATTTGAAAAGGGTTGGTGCTCCTTTCCTTGCAAATTTAGGGCCAAACTCATTTCTTTCAATGCCAATGTATCCTGGAACCCAGATAAACCGAACTCATCTGGTCAAACTGCACATCATCACCAATTCAGATGTTATCTCATGAGATCTAAGTGCCTTAAGAGCCGCTTGGCTATCAGTCCAGATCGCAATGTTCTTAATATTTTCTTTCAATTAATTTTGTCGACTTTCAACGTTTTCTGATAAACTTTTTTTTTTAATTCGAGCTTAGAGAATCTTCCCTAAAATTTTTTCCAAGTATTTAAAAAAAAATTTTAATTCGGTTAAGCCTTATTTGAACAAAATCAGTCAATAATTTCCCACTGTACCCCGGCTCAAGTAGACCTAATCTGGTGCTTTCATCAGTAAATGAGCCATCAGCGTAGCAGGTTTTTATAAGTTGGGTCATCCGATCGGATGTCTCGGATGTATTTTTCCACTTCCTTTTATTACTGAATTCAGTTTTAAACCTCTTTGTAAACCTAGAATTTGGATGCACTTCGTTGGAATATCGATCGATCTATGACTCTGAAGCCATTCTGCTCCAATGACGACACCAGTCATACATAAGTGGGCCCTTTTCGTCTATGTCTGAAATCGAACTCAAAGACCTTAAATAAGTTTTTACAACCTTAAGAACGGGGGTGGGTCAAAGTCTGGATATGAATACGAAGAAGGGTAAGATCTAGAAGAACTTCAAAACGGTTCAAGTTCTCATGACTCTAGTTATACATACGCATAAAAGCATTGGTAAGCGCCTTGATTGCCCCAAGTTGTCTGGTTCTATCATCACAAAGGATGGCTCCATAATTTCGTATTATCGGCGTGTAGATCCGACTTAGTAATTTTGGGAGGCAAACCCAATTATTTCATTCCATGGACCCATGACGTTAAAATCTTACAACTTTCTTCCCAGTTTCCTCACATTGTGTTTTTCAGAGTAATTCTTGGTCTAGTATGACAACTAGAAATTGAAACTCTTTTGGATACAGCTTTACGAGTTTATACATACATACATATATCCTTGAAATTTATACTATGGGGGTTTCAGTCGAAACAAACAGAAATTATTTCTCTGAACTTTTTGTAATTAAAGAGCAACTCACACTCCCACCACTATAACTTACTAAATAAAGTTAATTAATCTGTAGATTTTTGTACGTATAAACATTTGTGTCAGCAAAAATTAAATTTAAACATTCACGCGTTGCATAGCGATTGCACTTATGGATTTTGAACTCGCCACACATGATGTGGTAAGCCGCAAGTTGCAGCCTCATCTTCATTTAGCAGTGGAAGCAACGAGGACACACACACACACACACTTATGTATGCATAGTCAACACAAAGCTAATTAAACGCGTTAAATGTAAATAA